CTTTAGCAAGTTGAGGAACTTGTCTGACATACACACCAAGTTGTAGAACTAGGATATGACTTTGGCACTGTCCTGAGGGGCCAGGTTGTTAAATTTTATTTGATGTGTAATGGGATCCCTTGAAGTATTTTAAGCAGGCAGATACTATATAAATAGGTTTCACATTTAAAAAACAATAGCTCCATGTGAAGACTGGGATGGAGAAGGGTTAGAGTGACAAGAACAGCTCAGGCAAATATGATGGTGGCAGTGACCTGAAGATGCATTTGCAATGTATTTTGTTGGGGAAATGATAAAACTTGATGACGGAATGGATCTTTGTCTACCTCTCTAATTACAGCTCACTCTATGATTCCATTGTTCAGTACACTTTAGCTTTACTCATCTTTTGGTTCCTGAAATTCGCTAAAAACTTTTGCTAACTTCTGGGATGTTGCAGGAGTCATTCTCTCTGGAATGGTTTTCACTCTAATAATTCATTTTATAGAATTTATCTCAAATCTCAGCCCTCAGAGACTCCCTCCTGGATCCTCTAATTTTGATTCCATTTTTTCTTCTTAATAAAAACTAGTTCTACTTTGTCTCCAACTTGTCAGCTTACTGAATATTAGCTTGTTTTTACTGACCAGCACCTTACATCTGAAGAGGACATGAATTATGTTTTCTGTGTTCATTGCACTATATATTATGTTAGTGTTGTGGCAGCAAATATTTACTGAGGAATAAATATATGAGTTCAAAGATTTTATCTGCTCATTTTTGGAAAGTTTTCTTTGTTATCAAAATGACATATCTCAACTAAAAAGCAATGTTTGCATCTCCAATCCACTTTAAACCCAAAAGGCCAGCCAAATAGCTCAGTGGATTAAAATGCCTGCAAGCATTTAATTTATGGGCTGGGTGTTCATCTTCTGGGCCTGCTGAGCCAGCCCTGCCCCTGGGGCACACTGAAACCACGATTGAGACTGGGCATGGTGCGTGCCTGTAATCACAGCTCTTGGGAGGTTGTAAACAGGTGGATCACTAGGAATCCAATCTAATAGTAAGACTCTGAACACCCTGTAGACCCTTCCCTAAAAAAATAAAACAAAATAAAATAAAATAAATGTCTAAGCCCAAAGCAAAATCCCAGGTTAAAAATAACATGGAGGGTAAAAGGTATCACAGGATGAAGCAGCTGATGAAGGAGGCTTGATGCATGTGAATTCTCATTCATTATTGGTAGGGGATAAGGTGCTAGACGCTATGGAGAAGTAATTTGGCAACGTACATATACAGTTTATATGTAAATAAGTTTCTAAAACTGTTTATGTTTGTATTTTCACAAGATGTCTAAAAATACTTAAGCCAAAATGTTGGTAGCAATCAGGTAAGTACTTCTAAAGGGTGAGCTGGCACAACAGAGCAACTACCCTCATAATGCCAAATTATTATTTTTATAATACTAGCAATGAAGATAATAGGAAATAAATATTTTTAGTTTTGCCATAGTAATCCCATTTCTAGGAGCCTATATTAGTAAAATAATATGAGTTGTCGTCATGGTTATGTACAACATTTATTACCTGAGTTCATTAAGAATTGGAAATAATCTAAATGTTCACTAATATAGGGGAATAATTATAGTTTATTCAAATAACGAACTCTTTAACACACATTAGAGTTTTATTTTCCACAATAGTTAACGATATGAAAATGATCGTGCTAGATTGTTATATAAAGTATAAAGCTGTCTTTATAGCATAACTTCAGTTTCTCAGAAAAAGAAAAAAAATAAGATACACGGATAGGAAAAAATACAAAAACTACCTACTTGGGTGCCACTAATAACCATTTTTGGATGGTGTGACTCCATACATTTAGATTAGTCTTTATTTTTTTTTAGTATTTCCTATTTAAACATAATCATAAGATATTTTATAATCAGAAAGCTGCAAATCTTTACTGTAGTTATAAAAACAGTACATTGTTTCCTCCTTTTAACAATTCTTTTTAAATCAGGTTTGATTGGTGCATTTCAGATATACATAACAGTCATGTTCACCATAGAGAACTCGTAACTGTACATGATGTAACCTGAGGTTTTTTTTTCCCATTCCCCCACCCTTCTTTGAATCCCTCCTCCTGTCCCCATTTACAAAAGCTTTATTTCCATGTTTTCCTTCTTTTGTCTTTTTAAAGCTTTTCCCTTTCTGCCTCCCTTTTCCTTTATTCCCCTTCCCATTTGAACCTTTTTTTCCTATTTCACAATATCTATTATACAATTTAGTCCTCATTTATACTTTCAGTTTCTCACACCAAAGAAACAATGTGGTATTTACACACATGTATCTGACTTATTTCACTTAAATAGTATGGACTCAAGGTACATCTATTTTCCTAGAAATATCTTAAGTGTATCCTTCTTTATGGCAGAATAGTACTCCCCATTGTATAAACATACCACATCTTCTTTATCCATTTATTAGTTGATAGGCACTTTTGTTGTTTCCAAGTTTTGGCTTTACAAAATATGCTGCTACAAACATAGGTGTGCATATATTGCTATCATATGATGCTTTTTAACTCTTTTGGGATGACACCCAGGAGGGGAATGGTTGGGTCAAATGGAACCTGTAGGCTTAGTTTTTTGAGGAATCTCCACACTGATTTCCACAGTGGTTGTACCAATTTACACTCCTACCTGTGGTGAAGGGTTTCTTTTTCCCCACAGCCCCATCAGCATTTGTTGTTGGTTGATTTCTTTTCTTCTTTATTTTTTTTTTGGTGGAATCAGCGATTGAACTTAGGCCCTTGTGCTTGCCAGGGAAGTGCTTATTCCACTGAGCCATCTCCCTGGCCCCCTTTTTGGTTGACTTCTTGATAATAGTCATGCTTTCTGGGGTGAGATGGAATCTCAGTGTTGTTTTAATTTGCATTTATCAAATGACCAGTAATGTTGAACAGTTTTTCATATATTTATTTGCCACTTGTATTTCTTCATTTGAGAAGTGTATTTTCATCTCAGATGCCCATTTGTGGATTAACAATTTTATTTATACTCAGTTTTCATGTCAAGTATTTATAAGAGACATGTATCATGTATGGCTTTATGACAGGGATATGTTTTGAGAAATTTATCAGTAGACATTTTTATCATTGTGGCTAACATTATACTGTGTACTTACACAAAGGTTGATGATGTTGCCTAATACCCAACTAGGCTATACAATATGTAGTGAGTATATGTGGCCCATCATTGACCAAAACATTGTTATGTAGCACATGATTAAATATTGACTTACTGAGATAGTAGGTTCCAGTCCTCACTAACTCCTTGGACCTTTCTTTGTTTTGTAAAATAAATAACTAGTATGTATTTAATACTCTGGAAATATCACACTTGCTTTGTACAAACTAATGATGATAATGCCTTAAAAATAAAGTTATCTTCAATTAAATATAGTCCAGGAATAATTATGTTCTCAGTTGAATTAGACTTTTTGGTCTGTCTTTTAGTGTCTTTGTTGAACTACATTAACAAAGATACTGTACCATGTTTTTGTATAAGTTTAGATATATTCCTGGAGAGTATAAACCAGTCCTTTTAAGGGAACATAAACTTCTTTTAGAAAACCTCTAACTATAATATTTAACTTTGAGGCTAGCCAGGGCAACACAGTGTGATCCTGCCTAAAACAAACAAACAAACAAACAAACAAACAAACTCAATAACCACAAATAGCAATCTTACAAGTCACATAAAATCTTATTACATTACCAACATGTTTTAAATATATTCCTTTTTGGTACCAGGAATTGAACTCGGGTCCTCGTGCTTGCCAGGTAGGCACTGTGCTGAGGAGGTACACTGATGGCCTGCTTTACATATATTTTAACAATGGAAATTGCTGTCTAAAATTCTTTCAAGTCAGTAAAGACAGACAACTACAATATTTGCTTTCTGAAATATTCCAAACTTTTAGTCTTTTAAGCAACAAACATGTATATACAAACATGTATACATATGCATGTATATATAAATATAAAAATCCATTTGTTAAGGAATGTGGTTCACTTTCCCACATATTGAACATTTATTTGTATAATACTTGCAACAGTTATATTACCCAGGGGGCTGGGGAGATGGCTCAGTAGGATAAGCGCTTGCCTGGCAAGCACAAGGGCCTGAGTTTAATCCCCAGTTCCGCGCAAAAAAAAAAAAAAATCAGTTATATTACCCAGATAGCTCACATGAGAAATGTGCTTCAATTATAATAGCTTTGTTTGTTTAATTATAAGATGTTTGTGCAATCAAATTCTTTCATGTAAAAAAAGTCATGTTTTAACTCTTCCTTCTCCATAAACGATGTAAGATAAATATTTAAGTTAACAGGAATCATACTACATTTACACATATTCATATTATAAAATGTACTATAAAATAAACAAAATAAAGATACTCTATACATCAGTTCAAATAATTCTAAAATACAAAAATTTTATTGATGGAAATCAATTAACATATTCAGGGAAGAGAATATAAAACATCTGAAATTTTAAAGATGCCCATTTACTACTCAATACAATTGTTTTTATTCATGATCTGCAACTGTCTTACACTATAAAGCAAATCATTAATTTTCATTACAAAGAAAAGCACATAAAAACCTGCACTATTTTAAAATCATTAATATCAGAAAAATTAAAGTAGAGAGAAAAGCTGACATTAGAATTAACTGATAGACTACTATCAGTGCTACTTTAAATTTCTTTCCTATATTATTTCTCAAGCAAAATATCCTTATATGGGAAAAAAGTCATATTGGACTGTATGTGACTGTTTCATGTTATTAATGTAATTACTCAAATTCTGTTTTCTGCCAGGGTATATATTCTACCTTCTGTATGTGGACTGTCCTTGATACACCAAGGAGGCATCAAGCACGTAAACAATAGTCAGAGGAGAGAATAACGATGAGGCCATGACAGGCCAAAACCAATATACAACTGACTTTTGATTAATTTCAAGCTAAAGTGTTCCTAACATTTGCTACTTGCTCACAGAACTAGACAAAGTATACTGTATATTAGAACCTCAGAACTCTTAACATTGATTTTCCTTGGTTATCATTTGTCTAAGAAGTGGTAAATCACCTAATTTAAAGAAAGCAAGTCACTGAATCTTCCAGAAAACATAGCGAGATAATTTCTCTTCAATGCAAAATAATGGGGTGGCAGGAGTGTGATGGAAAAACCGGTCTTCAAAAACATCACGTAAGGGAATCCAGCTGTGCTTGAATAGTTTCTAGCTATGTATAAATAAAATAAAATAAAACAGAAAGTTGGTGAGGAGGGAAGAAAAGTCCTATGAGCTGCTATTTAGAAAAATGCAATAAAAGGGAAACTATGCATATTAAATCTACTCAGCAATAAAATGGTGCTTAGAATATTTTTTATGTGAAGATGTTAGAACTTATGCTTGCACTTTATTTTTCAAATTTATAAAATAGAACTTCTAAATACTATTTTAAGTATATCCAGCTGTTTCATTTAAAATTATTACTACACAATAAGATTTTACAGTTGTGTGGGGGAGGTAGTACATTTTCCTGAATTATAAAATCAGGATTTGGAAAGAAACATGAAAAATACTCAAAGATAAAGTTTTAAAGAGCTGGCATCTTCATTTCCATGTTTCCTTTTACTCTTGGGCCCAGAAATTAAAGTATTTCACATGATCTATATTTAAAGTGTCACTGTAGCTAGATATCACACAATGTGCCACTTAATGCTTTACCTTAAAGCAACAATCATATTGGCTTAATTAAAAGTTTTCATTTTCTTCCTGATTTAGCTGTGTAAATTCTTTTCATCATGGCTATGATTCCAACAGTGACATATACAAAAAATTTTAAAGAACCTAGCTTCAAAATAGGGTTCATATTTAGAAACAAAAATTTATAAAATGAAGGAAACATTAAAAAAATCCCTACATATCAGAAAATTATTTTAAATATACAGACCTTGTTATAGAAATCAAATAATTCTTTGTGACTGAATTCCACAAGAACTTTCTCCAGGTTCTACAAATTAGAAAAATAAGGAAAAAGAATTTAGTTAAATACAATTTATATTCCCTTTTTTCTTTCCACTAGTCAGTACATGCCATAATGTTATTGAGTGGTTTCAAATCCTTTTACCCAGTCTAGGGAATCCCATAATTCCTATAATTCACAAATGCCCTTAATACCATTCCACTTTAGCAAAAGGTTTCAATTCTACAGGGACATCTGTTCTTTAAGTTGATTCACAAAGGTTAATAAAATATATAGCAGCAAGAGAACAATTTTATTATTTGTTCAAGAGAGTATAAGATCATTTTTCTCAGTAGTCCATCTGAAGTCTAGTAAATACCACTGTATAAAGACACTAGAAGCTCTGGTGATGTAGCTCAGTGACACAATCACCAGCTTGGCAAGCACTAGGTCCAGTTCAATTCCCAGTACAAAAAAAAAAAAAAAAGATACTGAAGGCAGCATATCTGACTGAAATCATCCAGCCATTAAGGTTCAGTTACTGCCTTTAAGCACTAGCCTCACAGTTAGGATCTGGAAATGCTGAGACTATACAGCCTCAGCAAGTGTGTTCATTGTTAACTCATTCAAGTTAACAATGAAAGCCAGGTTTTAAAACAATCTCTTTGTTTCAAGTCACGTGCATTGGAGAAACCTTCATGAATGCAATGGTTGGTAAGTAATAGTAGTGAGTATGTATGATGGTGTTACACTAACCCCAACCTAACTGAACCCACCCTGCTTCAGTTGATCTGCAATCTGAGGAAACAATTAGAACCAGTTGCCAAAGACTGACAAAATGTATTTATTTTCTTCAAGGTCTATCTGGAGAATTGAAAGTTAATGAAGATGGAATGCTAGAAATGTTTCCCTGACCTGATCTTACTCTTGTGCTCACATGGCATAAAATGGGCACTGTAAAGAAGCTAGAAATTGCTTTAATAGGGGTTACTTCATGCACTTGATCATGGTCATTTTTAACATCATATTAATTCTAGCTTTCAGTTTCTACAGTTTTTTTTTTTTTTGATCTGTTTTAATGATTTCGATTTCTGTTGACAAAGCCAACATTTTCAAACCAACTTATCTCTAGCTAACCCCAGGAAAGTTAAAGTGCTATGATCAGAAATAGCATTTTCATCCTCTTGAAGCCTAAGCATACAGCATCAAAGTTCACAAATGTTTTCTCTCATCCATCCATCCACCCATCCACCCATCCATCCACCCATCCATCCCTCCATCCACCCATCTAAGTATGGAAGCTTTATAAATTAAAAAGCATTTAACTATCAAGCCTCATCCTTTAAGAACGATATAAAATTACTAAGCCTACAAGCTGTACTAGAAAAATTAGTTGGTATATTAGAAAAATACCTGATCATCACATTATCATTAAGCTTCTAAAGTTTTAATCATCATGATCTACCTAAGTCCTCCCATCAGTTAAAAGGAGATAATAGATTCAGGTTTACCTCTAAGCTCTAGGGAAGGCGAGACAAGTTCACTATACTCATCTATGCCAAAAGTTAGGAAGGAATGAAAGTTGAATCATTATGTTAACAATTCATTTGCTGAAAGTTACAGTCAAGCCAAGTGGTTTGCTACATTTTGTTTTGCATTATCTCAAAGTGATATTGTTTAAAATGTTACACTGAGAAAAGAAAAGGAATATAACCATGAAAACACACTTCTTATAGTAGAAACAGGGGCATGGGCAAGATGGTAGACTAGGAAGCAGTAAACTTGCCTTTCCACAAAGATACCAAGTTAAAAATCTATGGGACGGAATAGATCTGTGAGAATGTCAGACAGCAACTGCAAGGTTCTAGGCACCTAGATAATTGTAAAACCAAGAAGAGATTCCAATGAATAGGTGGAAGGCATTTTGCAGCATTCAGTGCATGTGTGTGCTTCTCCCTCTACGCGCAATACTGAAGCAACCAGGAGGAAAGGCTACATACCAGGGCTCCTCCCTGAATACAGAATAAAAGAATAAATCATGTGTACAATGTGCTGGATTGACTTGGGACTGCCCAAGAAACTGGGGTTACTTCCTTGCTTGACTGGGAGCATTCACAGGATCAGCAACAGGTTTTGAAAAGCTCTGACTACAGGGGAACGCAGTATCAAAGCTGAAGTTTTGAGGGTAATTCCAGGAAAGTCAGGTATCAAGAAAAGTTTGAGAGGTCCTAGGATCACCAGCTGGGTTGACTAGTAAGGGTCTGCCCCAAACACAAATCCAGTACATAAAGACTGAGAAAGGTGACTATTTACAAGAACACTCAAATCCCATGAAAAATGACAAGGGATAAAGAAAATAAAACATGGCACAATCAAATGAACAAAATAAAATGCCTGAAACTCACACTAAAAAACCCACAAAACTATGACCAACCTGACAAAGAATTTAAAATAATCATCATAAAGATGCTCAATGAGTTAAAAGAAAAAAAATACACACACATGTATATTATTAAATTCAATAAGATAATATATGAACAAAATACAAATAACAAAGAGAAAGAAACTACTAAAAAAAATCATTCTGGACCTGAAAAAAATAAATAACTGAACTGAAAGATTTATTAGAGGGATTAAACAACAGATTTAACTAAGTAGAATAAAGAATCAATGAATTTTCAATAGTGGATGGAGCCACCAACGGCCTGTAGAGCAACATGCCTAAGTTTTATTGTGACTACTGTGATACGTATCTCACCCATGACTCTCTGTCTGTGAGAAAGACACATTGCAGTGGCAGGAAACATTA